TCACAGGTTTACAAATTGGTGAGCAGGTGATAGGTGGTAACCACAAGCCCACACAAGCAAGAGACCCATGTGTGGGGAATGACGCTGCTCCCGCTGCCGCCTGAAACGTAAAGTGGTCATTAGTGCTGCTTTGTCAAGGGCAGAAGCATATGAAAGTAATTCTGAACATTATTACTTGGTAAGTGTAATATTAATAAACTGCTTTTTTGCCTTGTTATGCATATCCTTGTATCCATCCAACTTCCTATTTTGTAAAGGCCCAGATTATGAAACATATTGGCAAGGTTTAAGAGGCTTAGCCTGACGATAAAACCACCTCCCTCCCCCTCCTTTACGTGGCTTAAGTATTAGCGCAATTTTTCACCCGGTCATTATAATTTTTCTCAGAGGATTATGGAAGAGGTCATTGTCTTTTACCCAATGACACGAAGGTGACTGAATTTCCTGGTGGATCAACTGGCGGACCAATTAGTGAACTTACTAGTGGCCCAATGGGTGTTACATTTGGTTGCTGTCTAGCAGCAACCAAGACCTTGGGAGAGGTGGTGTTTCTGGCTCGCTTTCGTCAATTCCTAGTTCAATGCTACTGGTGATTAGTGTAAATAGTCTGGTTTGCTAAATTGTGGTCTGTTAATCCCCTCAAAGGAGGTGCTTTGATGTAAATGAGGGAGGCTCTTCATCCAAGGAATTGGACCAGTCTTCCTTTCCACCGTAATGATGCTGGGTTACCTTAACGTGGCAAGGGTTTGTGAGCTTAGCCTGACAAATAACTCGTCAATCCCCCCATTCCTTTATTTGGCTTACGTAGCGGGTATTTAAATTTTGCTCTCTAGGGGATTATGGAAGAGTCTGTCACTGTGTGCTCCTACCAATTGCAGGTGAGGTGGTCCGCACCACTTAATGGAGGCTGTATCGTCAGGTGGGCCTTTTGACGGCGTACCTAGTAGTACATTGTGTAGTTCATCTAGAGGTGGAAGTATTAACGAAGGTCACGTCACTTTTTATTCCAGGAGTGATCACTGCCGCCTATATTGCGGCATTCTTGCCGCAGTATAGACAGTTTTGCTAAGCCTTGCTCTGTTGGTTCTGGGCGTTCTATTCTAGGTCCTTTCCTGATAAGGGTGATTCCCGAAAGACAGTTTGCACTGCTTGTCACATTGGTGTGGAGTGTGGGGAATAGTAGCAAGGCAGTGGCTTTTTATTGGTCAACTGTACTCTTCCCTTATTACACTTGTAGAGAGAGAGAGAGAGAGAGAGGAAATGGAGTGAGCGCATTTGAGTGCTATTTGAAATTGAATGTATCATATGGATTACGAAGGATGAAATAAGGATAAAAGTTAAATAAGGAAAAGTTTCATTCGTATATCAAATTCTGGAAAGAATTTCGTATGTAAAGAATGAATGAGAGTATATTAGTGCCATTTTTGTATGACTGTAAAAGTTCAATCTTTAGATATGTTAGAGACTACGAGAGTGGAGACCGCGGAAACGTCATTTATATGATAAATGTGCTGTTGAGAGTATTATCGTATGCACTGAATGAAGAAGTAGGAAATTAGAAGACAGCGTGGTTGTATAAAAGTTAAAGTTGAAAAAGCTGGATTATTGATATTTTGGTCAATAGGAATAGTCTTAGGAAATAAGAGCTTGAATATTAGGCAGAGTTGAAATGTTAAGTGAATAATTGGGGGTGAAGTCTTCAGTATAATGAGAGAGGAAGAATAAAAAGACATTACCTGAACGAGTATTTTGAAGGGAGTTAGGCTGAAAATTGTGGTTGAAGTTTAAAAACGAAAAGTTGTCGTAATGCTATTTTTTTTTAAGAATACAGAAAAAAGTTTTGTCTAAAAATTGGGAATGTTGTGAAAATTAAAGAGTTTGAGGTGGAATAAGACTAAAGATTTCAACTAATATAAAAAATATTTTATCAATTTTCTTAGAATGAACACATCAGAAATTTATCTTACAGTATTGACATACAAGAAAAAAAATGTCCACACTGCTTCTTTATCTATCTTCAGCAAGTAGCGATAATGAACTCCTGAAGATATTCGTAGAGATGATACGCATAATAAGTAAGCTCAAGCGAAGCTGGTTTACACACACACACACACACACACACACACGGGGCCAGGAGCTGAGTCTCGACCCCTGCAACCACAATTAGGTGAGTACACACACACACGGGGCCAGGAGCTGAGTCTCGACCCCTGCAACCACAATTAGGTGAGTACACACACACACACACACACACACACACTTCCTCTGCTGTTACCTATTGTCTTCACCTGATATCGGTGAAGCTCTTTATCCAAGGAATAGGAGCTATCCCCTTTCTTGACACAAGTCTGATTACCTCTTATGGGCTTAGCGAAAATACGCAATAAACTGACCTTTATATACTCCTTTACTCTCGAGGGCTGGCCCAGTCTGCGGCAGCTGACCCTCCACAGACTCCTCCGAGCTCTGCCAGTATACTGCAGCGATAGTGGCGGTGCACCTGTCAATAAACACCTAGTTAGATGGATGAAATCATACTCTAGGACGCCTGAATCACTCGGAAACATGATGAATGAGACATGTGCAACATCTTGGTATGTTTACTTGTAGGAGTTTCGTCATCCAGTGGCTTTATCAGTATATTAAATGGACATAGATACACCACTGGGAAAAAGCCCTGGTAAGTTTTTAACGTAATTTGCTAATAAACTTGTGTTTAATCTTTTAGGGCAGTTTTAGCTAGTACCTCCTAAACACTGTTAATTCTTTAAATATCGGTGGCATACAAAACTCAAAAGTAGCGAAACTTTTCTAATAAATGTCCCGAACTACGTGTCTTTTTCCATATTTTGTCGGTATCACCATACCATTTTTGTAGGACGTTGCTGTTTGCCTACCCCCCTCCGGCGAGAACTCGTCACTCCGAGACGAATCTCTCACCCGTGGACACCTGTTCACGGGTACTCCTGCCCCAGTTTGCGTAGCTTGAGTGCAGGTGACTTAGGAACAAAGCGGAAAAGCTTACCTGGAAAGAGTTCCGGGGGTCAACGCCCCCGCGGCCCGGTCTGTGACCAGGCCTCCTGGTGGATCAGAGCCTGATCAACCAGGCTGTTACTGCTGGCTGCACGCAAACCAACGTATGAGCCACAGCCCGGGCTGGTCAGGAACGACTTTAGGTGCTTGTCCAGTGCCAGCTTGAAGACTGCCAGGGGTCTGTTGGTAATCCCCCTTATGTATGCTGGGAGGCAGTTGAACAGTCTCGGGCCCCTGACACTTATTGTATGGTCTCTTAACGTGCTAGTGACACCCCTGCTTTTCATTGGGGGATGTTGCATCGTCTGCCAAGTCTTTTGCTTTCGTAGTGAGTGATTTTCGTGTGCAAGTTCGGTACTAGTCCCTCTAGGATTTTCCAGGTGTATATAATCATGTATCTCTCCCGCCTGCGTTCCAGGGAATACAGGTTTAGGAACCTCAAGCGCTCCCAGTAATTGAGGTGTTTTATCTCCGTTATGCGCGCCGTGAAGGTTCTCTGTACATTTTTCTAGGTCAACAATTTCACCTGCCTTGAAAGGTGCTGTTAGTGCGCAGCAATATTCCAGCCTAGATAGAACAAGTGACCTGAAGAGTGTCATCATGGGCTTGGCCTCCCTAGTTTTGAAGGTTCTCATTATCCATCCTGTCATTTTTCTAGCAGATGCGATTGATACAATGTTATGGTCCTTGAAGGTGAGATCCTCCGACATGATCACTCCCAGGTCTTTGACGTTGGTGTTTCGCTCTATTTTGTGGCCAGAATTTGTTTTGTACTCTGATGAAGATTTAATTTCCTCGTGTTTACCATATCTGAGTAATAGAAATTTCTCATCGTTGAACTTCATATTGTTTTCTGCAGCCCACTGAAAGATTTGGTTGATGTCCGCCTGGAGCCTTGCAGTGTCTGCAATGGAAGACACTGTCATGCAGATTTTGGGTGTCATCTGCAAAGGAAGACACGGTGCTGTGGCTGACATCCTTGTCTATGTCGGATATGAGGATGAGGAACAAGATGGGAGCGAGTACTGTGCCTTGTGGAACAGAGCTTTTCACCGTAGCTGCCTCGGACTTTACTCTGTTGACGACTACTCTCTGTGTTCTGTTAGTGAGGAAATTATAGATCCATCGACCGACTTTTCCTGTTATTCCTTTAGCACGCATTTTGTGTGCTATTACGGCATGGTCACACTTGTCGAAGGCTTTTGCAAAGTCTGTATATATTACATCTGCATTCTTTTTGTCTTCTAGTGCATCTAGGACCTTGTCGTAGTGATCCAAATAGTTGAGACAGACAGGAGCGACCTGTTCTAAACCCATGTTGCCTGGGTTGTGTAACTGATGGGTTTCTAGATGGGTGGGATCTTGCTTCTTAGGCCCCTTTCAAAGATTTTTATGATATGGGATGTTAGTGACTATCGGTCTGTAGTTCTTTGCTGTTGCTTTACTGCCCCCTTTGTGGAGTGGGGCTATGTCTTTGTTTTTAGTAATTGGGACGACCCCGTGTCCACTCCATTCCTTGGTAAGGCTCGTGTAGGGCTTCTTGCAGTTTAAGTAGGACCACGATGTCCTGAGTTCTGACTTGATTTGGCATATGAGAAGAAATTTTTGCGTTTCATTCATTTTGGCTTTAGGTCTACACCGGTATTCTTCTCCTATAAGATTCCTTACTTAAGTTCGAAGCATTCATTTTCTGACCATGTCTCCTACGGCATTTCAGATATTTAAACCTCTTAGCCGCTCTTGTTATTATTGCCGTCGCCTGTCCTTCTTCATTTGATCTAACCCTCTTTTTCTTAGAGGAATAAAGCCTTGTGCGATGACATCGATTTGATCGCAATTAAAATTTCTAGGCATATTTGGGTTTTTTGCTTTATATCTTCCCGCTACTATCGTATAGGACTTCGTTACTTAGTTCCCTGTTTTTTCTTTGTTCATGCAGTTGAATTTGTGAAGCTTCCCTTGACTTTCTATGTTATTCTTGGGGTCTCCACGCTAACATGTCTGAACCTCATTTTATTTTGACTATATTTTTTTATGGTGACATTTCTTATCAGATCATCATTGTTAGGAAATGAGGTCAAGTGTATTCTCCATCTAGTAGGCTATTGTTTGTGTTTAAATTGATTTTCGCAGAGATTAAAAGCCGTTGGTGTGTTTTTCAGAGCTGCCTCCAGGTGTTATTTCACACATATTATTGTTATTTCCTCCATTTTAGGTGCCTTAATTGAAATCCCCCAGAGCAAGATGTGGGTGCAGGAGCTGGAAGATTTTCCAGACAGTGGTCAATTTTTAACAGCTGTTCCTGGAATTGCTGGGATGTTGCATCCGGAGGCTTGTAGACTACCACAATGACTAGGTTTTGGTTCTCGACCTTTACTGCTAAAACTTCCACTACATCATTTGAGGCATTAAGCAGTTCTGTGCAAACAATGACTCTGCAATGTACAGGCCAACCCCCCCCCCCTTTTTTTTTTTTGCCTGTTCACTCTGTCACATCTGTATAGGTTGTAACCTGGGATCCATATTTCGTTGTCCAAGTGATCCTTTATGTGGGTCTCAGTGAAAGCCGCGAACATTGCCTTTGCCTCTGCAAGCAGTCCACGGATGAAAGGTATTTTGTTGTTTGTTGCTGGCTTTAGACCCTGTATATTTGCAAAGAAGAATGTCATCGGACTGGTGTATTGTTGATACTGGGGGGATTTTTTTTCCGGCATTAGTATCTGTATCTGTTGGTTTGGAGTGGAGGCCATCGACTGTGGTTCCACTCCAGGAATGACTGGATTTAGTGTACGATTTCTGCCATTTCCTGCCAGTTTTTTTTTCCTTCTGGCACTAAAAAACCTTTCCCTCTTGAGTGGCTGTGGCTTACCCAGGTTTTTCCCATGGCCTGGATGTTTTGTATCTTTTTGTCCCCTTTAGATGGTGTGCCTGGCAATTTAAGTTACAGCACAGTCTTTCCTGTACTGAAGAGGTACACATTTCAGGGTGAAAAAGCTTACAGGAACGGAGTTTGCATTTTCCTGTTGTCATATGGGCACGGCATTTTCTAGGGTGGTCATAGTTGCACGTCCCGTCTGTTTTTCCAGATTTCCCATGTCTGCAGATACCAAGTGCATAGTATGTGCACAGGCTTGGTTTCCGTTTGCCTTGGGTTTCTGTGACTGTATTCCCTGTTGGTGCATGTTTCCCTGTCTTATTCCTATCCTCCCTAGCTAGGGATTTCGGGGAACTTTTATGGATGCCTTTTAACATTAATAATTTAACAGGAATTTTAATTGATGCTGCTTGTTTAAGTTAATATTTATTTATTTTGTGTTTTATTTATGTTAGTCATTTTTATGTTTTTTCAGGTTTGTTTTTCTTGTTTGTGTTGCATATATACATTTTCTGTTGCCAAAATCGTTGCATGATCTACATGGTCAAAGTGCTCTGCAAATATGACAACTACTTATCTAGAAAATAATTGGGTTTGCCACCCTGATTGTGAATTTTAGAGAGAAGACTCCACTGTGTATGTTACGCCGCTTTCCTGTCCTGTCGAAAAAAAAAACTCGTCAGTTTTTGAATATTGAAACTCATCTCCAGCTAACTTCCCCCCCCCCCCCCCCGAGGCCAGCAGCGAGATGTATCTACATTTTCACCCCTTCACCATAAAAGCAAAACGAAATAAACAGTCCACCAAAGAATAAAATCATAGCTTTACATTGAGGGGCAACAGGCAGTCAGAGTGGGGCGTGAGGCAAAGATGTAAAGTTTGTACCAGTGAACTATGGTGTTATGGAGCCATTTTCTGTGGTCATAAACCCCAGGGGCAGCATGCCGGGATAAAAATCTTGACAATTTACAGCCAGTTGAGAGTTTAATGTGGGCGGTGCGGGGTGAGTGTCGGAGCGCGCCACCCATCACGCCGCTCGACCGAGAAATTGTAACTATAAAAATGACACTAACGCAATATTGGCAGGTAGACGAACCTGACGCAGCGCCGCCCTGCCTTCTGCACCAGTCGTGTGGGGGACACCTCTCATACTGCGTGGCCTCTTATACTACCTCTAGTCCCCAGCACCTTCATTGTGTGGCCTCTTATATTATCTCTAGTCCCACCATCTTTACGACACTCTGCACCATGTATTTTGTGCTGAATCACCATTCAAGCGTTCCTGATGACCCTTGTCATGATGTGGTCTGTCACTGCTCCTGATGTGGTCTCTGGCACCGGCCTTGCAGCCCAGGTTCTCATAGAATCTCCAACACCGGTCCTGGACATGGTCCGTGGCACCGATTCTTATGTAATCTCCAGTTCTGGTCCTCGTGTTATCTCCAGCAAGACAGCAATTGAATGTATGCTGAAAATGGTATAAAATATCGACAAGTTGATGAGTAAGACACTTGTGCAGCAGTACGGTAGTGATTGAATGAATGATGGTGAAGGTGTTTCATCTTGTAGGGTCACACTAAGCGGGAGACTGA